GGAAATAAGCCGCAGCCGGGGCAGCTGGTAGGTGTGGATGATTCAAGTCAGTGCTGGTACTGGCGAAGGAGTATTGAGTGGCTACTGCGTAGTTGGGTCAAGGTACAGCGAGTGACCCTCGGAAGTTGTTGTTCCGAGGCCGCAATCGGAGGTAGATAGCCACCCAAAAGAACCGGGGGATGGTAGCTTAGTTCTTCTTCGACAACGGCTCTTTGGCGAAGAGGTTGGAAGCCAGGCCATCTGGTCCTAAGGCTTTCTGAGCCCTCGTTTTCTTGATGGTGGTGGGGATAGCATCGGCCGAGAAGGAAATATGTGGGGTAAGGCTTTATGGAGAAGGCGAAGAAGGGAGCGCTAGATTTTGGGGCTGGACACCGAGCGGGACGAGAACAGTTTGTTAATCTTGGCTGCGACCTTTCCATTGTTCGAAATGAATTCGCCGTCCCCGAAGCTAATAGTCTGGTCCGGGGCTTGGTCAGGTTGCGTAGAAGTTTCTCGGTGGCAGCTGAGTCTCCGCGGAAACTGCAATCTGCAACTAGTTCATGCCAGCGTTGGTGTTTGCCGTTGTTGACGGTCTTAATGATCAAGCTGTTAAGCTCGCCGATGCGCGGGTCATTGACATCGCTTGCTTGTATATCATCTCTCTCGTTCTAGGCGGATATTTGGGACAAAGTAGGGGAATGCGGCCGTTCGGGGTGTGGTGGTTTGCTGCTGCCAGAATTAGTCTACAAAAGGCCCGCTCCGACTTAAACCAAATTAGACAGTTGCTCGCCAGATAGCAGTTGCTTAGATCAGCTTGATGAAGGGATGATCTTCTATGTTACTTTGTTTAGAAGTTGGAAGCCTGCAGCACGCCAGATGGGGTTTCCAGAATGACTGCACTGTGCTGCAAGAAGTTTTTCTCGAAATAGCCACCGAACTGTCCCGAATATGTGAAAGATCTGCGGATGACATTGAGACATGACATTAGAGAGAGGTGTTAAGAGCGTGCCTTTAGATGTGTTTCATAATAGAATACAGAGTGGTTATCATAGGAACTTCCGCAAATGGCAAGGGAGAATAGGTCCCTTTTGCGAAGATGTTTGCGGCAACTATGACATTTAATCAGAGAACGTGCTCTTGAGACACTCTCCTCTATCGCATTCTGAACTCGGAGTCGAGCTTGCACCAAACTCATAGTCCGCAAAATACGCTGGTTGATCCTAAGGATGACGATGTATCAATGATGTTGCTGAACGCTTTGAATTCGGTACCACCCACAACTGACTCTTTGTCTGAACAAAGGTGCGCAGTATAAGCCGCAGGATAGCTAACAGAGGGTGAAACTCGGCACCAGTATTCTCACGGTTCATATCTGAGGCTAGAACATAACTTTACAGCCGTCGTTAGGTCTATCTCATTTAAGTTTATTGTTTTGGCACTTGTACCCCACTGTTCCTTGTTATTATGCCACCTTATTTTGTTCTTGAAGTACTCCCACTCACTGATGCAGAGATATAAATTATCACCATACCTCTATCATGACTGATGCACTTGGCAGCGTGGTATTCGCTCGCTGGTATGACAGGGGAGTCATGTTGTAGCTTAAATCGTTTGGCTGACTTTTGAACTGCCCTTATTTGAATGCAGAGAGACATTCACTGTCGCCGACCTTGTACAATGTACGTAGTTTTGTTCCTATGTTTCTAGGTCGGGTCTCCGACCATTTGGACAAATCATACATTTCCCAATTTAACGTTGTTCGCTATGGCCCTGTATTTTTGAGTTGTATCTGCTGTGGCCTATATAAGTAAGCGAAGTCTCGGCAATGGTTCTTCTGAATGGGGCCTTTTTTCCTATTATCATTAGTCAGGTGGGCTTCACCATTTCCCATGAAATCAGAATAGTTCAGGAAAACCAGTATGAAATGAAACTTTGGTTAATTGAGCCACCAAAAATTCACAAGGCAAGTATTACAGTGAGTTCACGCCTAAGTATTGAAAAGTCATCGTGGCACGGAAATGCACATTTACACTTTACCCCCATGCCAGCTATCA